GTTCTCTTTGCATATAAGCAACAGTAAAAGTGATTCCACAAATTTATGTTTGTGCGTAAATTTAAACTCAGTGCTCCTTCACCACAAAAAAAAAAAAAAAAAAAAAAATCTGTATCTTTTATTGACTTATAAGTTTGTTTTTATAGGGATCACCAAAGAAACCTACAGCCGGCACAAAGCAGAACTTTGTAACCACCACGCTCTCAGACACATCAGACTTGTATTACCTGAAACAAATACTGGTCAAAATGGAGATAACGTTCAGACATTTGCTTTAAAGCGTAGCATCCTTTCTACCTGCCAGTGCAGGCCGCAGAAGATACACTCTAGTTAGCATATTACTGACAGGATGATGAGAAAGCTCCTGTCAGACACAGGCCAGCCGGGTGTTTGAGACAAAATGCACAGCCCCAGCTGACTAGTTAGGGAAAGACTGGTGAGGTACAATTACAGAGGCATATGACAAGCTTTCATGCTTGAGTGACTTGAGAACCGATGACATGGCTTTAAACAGCAATCCTTCCTACCTCCGGTCACAAAACAGCAATAAGTCAACTGATGCACTGTTGTAAAATCATGATTTATTCCTTTGCTTTGAATACATGAGAGCGTGGTATGATGTTCTGGTAGACTACCACAGCAGGTGCACTTGGGGCCGAAACATCTAGGGCCTGCCTCCAGCATGCATAAAATCAATGCTGTAGTTCAGCCTTCCTGGAAAAAAACATCCCCAGCACTTTAATAATTTATGGAGAGACTCAATTAAAAAATTGTTCGTACTGAAACTCATACAGCTTCATGCAACTAATAAGAATACATGCAGATGCAATGACGTGTGAGAAAATGGTGCTGTGCAAGAACTTACAGCATGACAAGTTAGGAAAGGTCTTCCTTTTCCAGCTAAAGTGAAACAACTAGCAGTCACCTCTGTGAACACATCAATTCCTTTGTTTCATTCATCCTTTCATTTAATCCAAAGCCATACAATTTGTTTCTCTTTCATAGGTTACTGTTCAAAAGCCAGAAATGGTAATTTTTGCTACAAACAGATCTTACAGAGCATAATCCTCAGGCTAGCTGAATCCATCTCACTCTAACACTAAGCCTGAAGCAAGCTGTGAGGTTGCTGATAATCATGTTATTAAAGTGGTTGGAAAGTCAAGCTAATAAAAGAATCAACAGTTAGGGCAAATAATGACCCAGAAGCTATGCCAGAAAGGAGTGGTGTGAAGTTTCCACTTATATCTTGGTAGTAATTGGTAGGGCAAGTAGATAAAGATCTCCACCAAAGGAGTTTTTAAAGGGGGTAAAACCCACAGAAAATCAATTTAAAGAAAGATGCAAAGAAGACGTAACAATTGCAAGAATCAGATGATGTATATAAAACAAAGTCTGCTTGGCTGAAATAAAATATAAGCTGACAATTGAAACACACACTCAGGATAAAATGGTACTTATATTTTTCTTTTTTAAATTAAAAAACTCTACTGAACGGCTTAAAATAGGTAACATTATTTTCTCTTTCTCTTTTTTCCTCCAAAGTAAACCTTTTTTTTTTAAAATATAGCATCATTTTACCCCCTTTTTCCATAACAGGACTCATCCTTTACTTGAGTATAATGAAAGCATGAAATTTGTAGGGCAGAAACACTAGACAAAGAATTCCTGTACATAAGTAAGTGCAGTTTTCCATTCCTGGCCCCCCAACAAGAAGGGTGAGGAGAAAGTGAGCAAGGCCTTGAATTATGCCTTTGTTATCAGTCACTGCCCTGAGATACTGAACCGAAACAGAGCTGATAACTCAAAGGTGACATCACAACCCAGTCTTCATGAACTGACATAAACACTTGATATTCAGTTAACCCCAAAGATAAAGCACAACTCCCTTAACAGAAAGTTGTACTTGATAGCACTGTTTTTGAACAAATAATCTTTTCAAGTATCAAGCTGTAATTTAGGAGTATTAAAACATGACCTTTGCAACACGAAGTACCAGTCTACTGTGTTTTGTACACAACAGTAACACAGCACAAAGCTAGCAAATGTTAATGTCCAAATGCACTCCATTTGCTTATTTGTATTATATTAAGCAATCCAACATTTTAAAGAAGAAATATCTTATGCTGAAAACACATTTAATCCTTCTTGGCAAGTCAATTAAATTCTTACAGGAGGTACTGAGAAGTCTTTAATTTACTTTTTAAACTATATTGCTCTGTAAAAAAGCAAGCCTCGCATCAGTCCTGTTCTGTTTATGAAAGAGATCAGTAGGTAGCAGTTCTCACTGAAGTTCCTGATAAGCCAGGTCTATTTTTCTGTTTTATCAGAACTCACTAGTGCAAGTGAAAATTAACCCAGTCCTGTATCAAAAGTGGATCCAACATGATGTGGTGTAATTTCATTTACCTATGACTTAAGGAAACCTAGTAGACTGAAAAAATAACCAGAAGAAATTGAAATTGATGTGCTACCTCTTTTTGGACTTGACCTGCAATCTAATATTTACATTCACACCTTGGGGACATTCTTCAGGGACATCCAAATACCACTTACAAATGTTTTCTATTGCTACCTATCCTCATCTAGAAGAGTGATATAAATTATTTTCAAGTGGGACACCACCAAGATGACTATTACTTCATGAAAATGTTTGGACTAAACAGCTGAATTTTGAACAAAAAAAGTTTCTCACAACCAGCATAGTATATCTGTTGTTCTGTAATGACTTCCAAAGAGCTTGGAATCTGAACATAGAAATAAGGTGGTCTAGATCAGCGCAGTGTGATTCTGGCACCTCCTCTTCTCTTGTCATATTGTCATATCATAGCAACAGAGATCAGCTGAGATGTTCAGCCTAATAAAAACAAGTCTTAGGAGGATCCAAATGTAGGCCGAGAGTACGATTCTAAATCGTGTTAAGCAGATGGACACGTGCGCTGCAGAATGAATCTTCCACAGGTGCAGAGCTGCCATCATAGAATCATGGAATAGAATCATAGAATCATTTAGGTTGGACAAGACCTTTAAGATCATCCAGTCCAACCATTGACCTAACACTAACATGTCCACCACTAAACCAATTAAGGGTAGAGTAGTAATTTCATGTTTCCTGGCTTGGTGGCTGGATTATTTTTTAATGAAAGTAAAAATTGATTGAAAGAAAAAAGTGATTCCTACCTCCTCTCTACTGGAGCAGTAAAAGAGGTTTGACTGGGACATCACTGGAGCTAAGTTTTTTTTTATGGTGTTTTTTTGTTTTGGGGTTTGTTTTTTTAAAAAACAATATAGCAAGCTGGGTCCCAGACTGGCAAACTAGAAAAAAAAAAAAATTATTCCACTGTTTTGCTACATCATGTGAACCTAAGCCAGGTTCTTTGAAGGGAAAGCCCTTTCAAATTCTCTTTGCCTGTTTGGGTGGTCTTACTACTGTGTTGTTAACACCCAATTCTTCCCCTAGCCATTTTGGGGGGGTGGGGGAATGCAGGGCAAGGGGAAAAAAAATGTGTGATAGAATATGGAAATTTCCTAAGATAAAGTAAAATCTTTGATGGTTAAACAATATATCATAGACTAGTAATTTGAAGATTGCTTATATTCATTCACTATTTTTCTGGTTTTCAGTTGTTCATGTGGCCTCTGCTATATGACCCCATGTTTCCTTTACTCTCCAATCACCATGGACTTACTTAGCTCCATATTCTGCAAACCACTGGTAAAGTGCTGTCTTTGTGCATTCCCCTAACTGCAATGGTGACTGTAGATTCAGGGACCCAACACTGTGATGTTTAAAAAAAAAATAAAAAATAAGGCAGTTATATAATTGCTACTACCACCTAGAATTGTAAAACCTGTCAGCCTTTTATGGCAATTCTGAATCTTCTCTCTCTTCAATTTACTTTTGACTCAAAAGAATTTAAAGGGGTTTTATCCACTATTTATAATCCAAAAATTCTCACTCCTTACATGCACACGTATGTATTGGAAATTGGCACCTGCAAGTCTTTGAAAATAATGATTTTTAGTAGTATATCCAACCTTGTACCTATGTGTTGAAAATAACTGTTAATTTATTTGGTAGTACAATTAGCAGGGTTCAGGAACACAAAGTTGATTTTCCACCATAGAAAGCATATTAAACAAAATGTTTTATGCAGTACCGTTGGGAAAAAAAAAAAAAAAAAAAAAGGTATTTTCAATGACTGTGCTTAACAGGCTAAAGATTCTGCATAACAAATATTGTCTATGATGAAAGTTGGTTATAAAGTGACAGTCTTGTACTAATGCAAAACTAATCTTGGGAATATTTTCAAAATATGGGATATTTTAAAAACTCGTAAGATTCTGTGAAGAGTAAAACAAAACAACATCTGAATACTTATGTATACTTTCAAAATGAAACACAACATTCTTTTATTAAGCAGTCTAAGCAGGCATAAGGGAAAAAAAAAAAACCAAACCCACAACATTTTAATGTGGGTAGTAGCCTAAAACCTTTAATAAAAAAATACTATTTTGAGTTGTACGTTATTATCAATCTGAAGAGCTGCTCCAAATCAGAGCTATTACAGTATGCACTCCCAAACCACTCTAACAAAGATGAATCTACCTATTACCAGGTTAGGATAGCAGCTATTATCATGGACCCTTGATTTCTTTCAAGTAGCTCCAATGGAATAAGCCACAAGTGAATAATAAAGATCTTATAATAGCCCTTAAGAATTCTTTTTAGGTTAGAAGGCACAGAAATGAACTCAGGAGAGTTAAAGAACTCTCATCTCCTGATAAGAAAAATAATTAACCTGACTTAATGTATCTGAGTAGGTCTTATATAAATCAGACTTTTGTACTTCAAGAGCCAGACTAAAACCATGTATCAGAAAAGTATGTAGATATTGTCTTACAAGTACACATGGAACATATCTAAAACCACAAAGGTCTGCAGGTCATTTTGTGAAATGTTCGATATATTCTACTTAAAAGGAGATGTGTGAAGTACTTACAGTGCTTAGTTTGCTAGAGGTAATAATGATTCGTCTCTCATGCAACATACTGGCATAAAGTTGCAGCATGTTGTTCACATCCACAGCAACAAAATATTCAGTGAGGTTTCTCTGTTTAAATAAATAAGATGTTAACAATATAGCAACAGTAGTAGCTAAGTGGAACATTTTATATATTACTTACAAAAAAATTTTGTCCAATTAGTAGGTGGGGAAAAAAAACAACCCAAAAATACGAAAGAAATCCCTTTGCATTAAAATTTGTATGCTTTAAGAATCATCGATTGGGTTTTAAACCAAATGAAAAACTAACTTTGGTGTAGGTTATTAATACTTTGCTCTTTTGATTATGCTTATGAATTTAGATTTGCCCCTTTATTTTTTTTTTTTTCAAATTTGAAAAAAATATGAAATTTGGTATTATATCAATGGCACCAGATGCTATTAAGGTAAGCATTACTTCCAACCCAGGAACAGATTTTTCCATCACTGCAATAACTGTTCTGTCATAGCTACAATAGTCAAACTGTGCTATTTTGCCAGGCTCTCTCAAAGTCAACACATTTTATTCTACTGCAAGTACAGCAAAACAGCTTGTTGTAAAACACCGAGCTTCTGCTTCAGCTCTATGCGCCGGGACATCAAACATCCAGCAGCACTGGTAGAAGGCACTGGGTCCTTCCTGCAGCCACCCTTTTTGCCCCAGTAAGAACTCCACTGCCACTCCCACTGTGGGGTTTGATGAAAATCAAAGTCACCAGCACCTCTTGTTTACAGTTCAGACAACACGGGGCGGGGAAGGGAGGGGCGAGGGATCTCTGCATTCCAGCTGAACTTAACAGTATTTCTACATGGCACAGTGCAAGATACGCGAGTTCTGGATAATCTAAAACAGCTACTGGCAAAAATGCCTAGGAAAACGGCAAATTTTTGTAAATTTAGAGAATATGTATGACAATATACTAATACACCCCACAATATACAAGACGTTTAATTTCACACATTCATTATCGTATCTGCAACCAGAACTCTTACTCATTTCTTCTCAGGAACAATATATTATTGCACGTTAACATAAGAGGTCTATTAACTATATTCCCCAACCCAAGGATAGAGATCTGAACAGTGGAGTTCCACTGTTAGTGGAACTGCTCAGGTAGCCTATACTGGATGTGGCCAACACACGGCAGCAAGGTAATGCACCCTGAAAAAACAGTGAGGGGGCAAGACAAGCCGTGAAGGCTTCATCGTGGGGTGACACCCCAGTCTGCAGGCACCCCCACCGCGGGGGCCAGGACACGGTGGCCGGCTGTGGCCTCTTGGCTTACAGGCCTCCGCAGTCAGAGAGCCTGGCGTGGGATGGAGCTGCTGTCCACCAGCTGCTGGCTTATCTCCTTACAGATTCTACCATATGAAAAGCTAACTTTAGTTAAAGCCCAGATGATGATCTGAAGGTTGACCTCCTTTCTGGATATACTGCAATATTAAATAAATAAAGACACTGAAAAGACAAATGAAGATCCAATGGATGATGCAGTTTCATGCAAATTCAGAAATTAATTAATTCAAAGACACAGAGTATAGAGTTATCTTGGTCCATGCTGCATAAAATTTTGGAAGAGAGAAAAACAAGAGCTTTAAGGCAAAAAACAAACACCCCATTTAGAATGAAATTCCGGTCTTTCAAGCACTACTTTTAACTGGTTCTCAGAGGCTGATGTACCATCATAATTTGAGTCCAATTTACCTCGGACAGCCTCTAACACTGTAGTTGATAATGGTATGCTGATTCTGTATTGCAAAAGCTGAGGTAAAAAGAGTCTGCAATCTTGTACAGACCAATATATCTTTGGGAGACAGTCACAGTTATTTCTGCATTACATCTAAAAAGTTACTGCCCCTGAAATATGTGAATCTGACAACAAAAAATAAGAAAATTCATTTTATTGCAAATTTACTGTAATTACCTCATCTCTTCACTCCCTGCATGTTCTAACCCTCCATTAGTACCACACTATTTTGATCCATTCTGGAAGGATGAGACTTGTATAAATGGAGTAAAAAATAATTACAGAAAGGCACCTTGAAAATTACTTTTCCTTTCTCCTACAGGATCAGAAAAAACAAATCCACAGTGGCACCATCACAAGACTCTCCATCAGCCAGAGGCCCAGAGTGAAGCTTCCCCACATTTTCTTCAAGTTGAACACATAACACACCTGCTGACCTCCAAAGCTACGTTTTATTAGAACCCCAAAGAGTAAGCTAGAACAAAAGAATTCTTTAAAATAGAGGAATTCAACCCACAGGGTGAAACAGATGAAAATAAACATTTAAAAACTATGCCCCGCCCTGCCCAAAGAGCCCTTGGAACAAGGGTCCTCTCTTTTACTCCTCTACCAAGCAACTTTCCATAGTTTTCCGGGTTGCAACCAGGGCCACGCCATCTCCTCTGGGTCCCTGATGCAGACTCCTTTCCACCACCACAGGCGTACCCGCAGGCCTCCTCTCCACCACAAGCACCCCACCGCCCCTCGCCAGCCTAGGTCTCCCACCTCCCTTTCCTTCCCTCGCCCATCCCACCCTGCTGCCCAGGAGCCACCGCCCGCCCGGGACACTGAGGGGCACAACCTCCGCTCTCACCCGCAGCATGGAGGCGGAGAGCAGGCGATCGGGACGCCTTCCCCACCGCGCCTCGCCGATGCACCAGCGCAGAGGCTGTGAGCATGCTTCTGTCACGCTTTCTGCACAAACACCACAACACCTACCAAGAATGAGTTCTGCGGTACTGCATGATTTTGTACTGTGGTGAACACCCCCACAGCTTAACTTTCAGAAGGAAGTTATTATTTGAAGGTGTAAAAATGCAAATCTATACAACCGTATTCAATTCCAGATTTAAATGCAACAGTGGAAAGCAGGAAGTTTCAAAGCTCTTTTATTAGATGTTACCCAGCTGAACACATCCGAGAGAATGTGATCTGAGATTTCACATTTGCAGCCTACCCACAGCACCATCAAGAATGCAAGTCTTCATAAAAAAAAAAAAATAACCATCACCATTCTTGGTACATGGTTACCATCCAAATGTAAGGAGGTACAGCATGTTTTCAGAAAGCCTGAAACAATACCTTCTTACACAAAAAATAACGGCATATTTTGATAGCTGAATTTGCAGCTTAGCAATGCAGTGCTTAAAGGGCAGGTATTCAAATAACACGAGGTGCAGAAGTAGAATGTATTTTACATAAATAATCCCAATAAATGCAAACAAGCCAAGTAATTATGAACGAAAGGGTGGATGTGCGGTGGTCAAAAATGCCCTGTTAATGCTTTAAATAGGTTAATGATGAATGCAACAGTAACTACTACCTAAAGGCTGTAATAATAGTCATCAATCATATTCTAAAAACAGTCTTGGAAAAAAAGACATCTACTGATAAAAGCAGAGTTCAGCCCTTCCCACAGAATGAGGTTGATACTTCTCCTAAACATGTGAAAAAAGAAACTGCATACTTACGCTTTCAGGGATTGTTGGCAATCCAGTTATATCAGGAGTAATGAAATACGAGTGCTAATGAATGGGGAAAAATAATTAATAATTTATGCACACAGAAACCTAAAGTTCTTTGTTAAAAAAATCCAGCATTTCGGATTTCCAACCCCATCTTTTTTTAAGCAAATAGCCATTTTTCCAATAGCATTCTTACCACTACTAGACAAAGAATTGAGCAGATCACAAGAAACGACAAGCTCTGGTTCAGCACAGCACACAAACGAAGGGAACAAAATGCTGGGCAGCAGTTTTCAAATAACACTGAAATTAAGCCAGCTTTAAATGTTGTCATGAGCCTGAGAGTAGCATTGATTAACTTAAGCACCGATTTAAAAATTGCAACCAAAAAAACATGTTAAAGGACAAAATGTAAATTTAGAATAGAAAAGGAAAAATCATTCACATGAGAAAATGAATTAGAATAGAAATATTACTACTTGATACACATTCTCTTCTCTTTCCAAACATCTTTGAATCAAAAATGTGCTAACAGAAATGCAAGGTCTGACAGCTTGAGATCCCACAATCATTTATGAAGTACATTAGCAATTTTATGCATCTTAGTTTGAGGCCATCTAGGATGTAAATATAAAATGGATTACACCAAAAACAGATGTAATTTATATAATTCTCATTAATCCAGTGCTTTTCGTGGTTATCAGACATGGATTTAGCACAGTAATTTTAAGGCTTTTTTGCATATTAGTCTAAATCTTGAAGGACAAAAAACCTTAAGTGCATACTAAGTAAATGTGATAAATATTGACTTTTTAGCTTTTATTTGTTTTTACAGAATTTTGACATGTTTCTTAGACTTTCTTTTGTTTTATAGTGTATTTTAAAGTTATAATTAACAACACAAAGACACAGTTTGTTTTCAAGTCAAACTTGAAAAAGATATACCAAAACATAAAGGAAGTCTATAAGATATTAAATGTGTCTTGTGTTCAAGAAAAAAAAAAATTATTAATACTATTAAGTCTGTGTAGGAGACTTATTAAACCAGCTTGATACATTTAATAGAAAATTTTACCCACAAATTAGGTCATTTGGCAATAGTTAAAAACTTAAGAAAAAAAACTGGCTTAACAAAGGCATCCCATAAACATCATAGCACTTGCACAATAAATATCCCAGGTTATTGTTTTTGCATCAACAGAGGGAGAAAAAAGCTAAGATTTTTTTCTCTCTCTAGTCAAGAACAGGAAAATATTCAGACTAATGGAATGCCTACATTCTTCAGAAGTATAGCAAGAACAGAAAACGATTTCCTATATGTAATAAGGTCACAGAATATTTATCAAAAGATTTCTGAGTAATGAAGTTAATAACTTAGAGATGTAATTATTTATAATTAACAAAATAATAATATTTCACTCATTAAACAGAAAAGGAAGTCAGAACTAGGAGAAGCAAAGACCCATTACTGCAGTCATTAAGAGTCATAAAGCAGCAAAAATAATGTGGTACGGAGTCCTTGCACATCTTTGTGAACTCCCTTAGGAAGATGCATGGCCTTGGAAGAGATACTAAATTAATAGCTGCTGTCCTGTAGAAAGTTTTCTGTAAAAAGGACACTAGAAAATGCAAGTTTTGTTCATCGATTTAAGGGTTTGATTTTGGTTGCGGTTTTTACGAAAGGATTATGATGCACACTCACATAGCTCTAAAGTTAGACTGATTAAAACAGAATAGGTACATTAATATTAGACTGCTCTTTTAGGCTAAAGACAGCAGCAGAATTTCCCAAAGGACAGGTATAAATAAGCCTGAAATCGAAAGATATATTCTATAGCAAGTAATTATTTCTTTAATTACAATAGGCTTTAGATAGTCAGTGCCTTTTAAACTCACCGATACAAGACAAGGCTCTTTTTTCAAAACTTGCTCACTTGCAAAAATCATCTCTTGGTTCTTATGCAAGATGAGAGAAAGATTGAACAATTGACTTTTTAGTTTTACAACAAAAAGGCCAAAGCTAACTCTAACACTTGTAATATTCCATGTTTAAAATACTGGCTAAAATGTTTTATTCTTTGTATTCCTCCCCCATTTGAATTCAGACTTAACTTAGCTAGCTTTTCCAACAAAAGAGAAGGAAAAAAAAAAACAAAAAAAAGAAAAATCCCTGTTGTTAGCACTCTATGGGTAAAATAAAAGTGACCCGAATTATATTTAAGCTCAGGTTTCACAGAACAAATGACCACCCCTCATAAATTTCAGCTGCAGAATATTTGTTACTGGGACTGACAGGTGAAAGTAGAACTTGGTCCCTAACTGGACCAAGGCATTTTGGTGTCCTCCTGACCAAGGATTACTGGGAAACACCATGTATCCAGATACTGGACATAATTTATGCATGATTATATATATGCAATCCTAAATACCACTGTGGTCTGCCATCCGAACCCTGCTTCAACATCGATGATCTTCACCCTGCAGCATGCCTGAGTAAATGGTGGGAGGGATCTTTTTAATTCTGCATCATGACATTTGAACTAGACTCATCCTGGCACAACGAAAAGCCACCTCACGATGTCATTCCTACAATTATTTTTCAGACTGTAACTTCTTTTTAACTCTATTGCTACTGACAGTTCCAGTCTAGTTTATTTACAATATACAAGGAGCAAGACTGTAAAAGACTAGGCACACAAAGTTAGAGTTGAAAGTGGCCATAAACATTTCCCTGCTCCCTGAAGCACAGAGACAGAGATGCCTGTAGATCCAACAAGCATTCTGATTCAGGCTAACTTATTCCTTCCTGCTCTGCCCCATCGGAACCCACAATAGTTGCTCGACTGTACCTGCAGCCAAGCATTTGGCAAGAGGCCTGCATTTAGACAATCACTGTTCATCTAAAAAGGTTACAGAACTCTTTGATGTAACAAGCTACTGGGAACAAGAGACAACTGAGGGAAAAAAAAATTCAAAACTCAGGTAACACTGAAATACAACCAGCAAGCATCAACTTTACTGCAAGCAATTTGTCATCCCAGTATTGCCAAGTGTATTCACCACAACATCCATTTCCAGGTTCATCACAACATTCATTTTGAGGTAGGCAAGTTCTATGCAAGATGAACTGCAACACTGATAGGAACAGACAGTAACACTTTGCAAGAAGTGCAAGGAAAAATGTCTTTAAAACTTCTCTGTGTCCCTCTGAAACACAACAGGATTTTTAAAGTACTTTATAAAGCATTTTAGACTTGCCAAATTAGAATTGGTTATAATACTGCAATTGATAGCAAAGTATGATTTGATATACAGAAGTATTCTTGGCAGAGGTACTATTAACTGAAAAATAACTTGAAAATATTACACTGACAACAGAAAGAAAAACCATAGCAACGGAAACAATTCTGAGTGCAGCCTTAAAAACCAGTATGTCGTTCTGGTGAAAAACAACACGCAAGACTGGAGGGACTTCCAAATACAGTGGATTAGCACTGTTCAAGGGAGAAAAAGACTAGGCCTCTTTAGCCTAGTGAAAAAAGCATAGCAAGGAATCTGAAATATGACAAATTAAAATGAAATAAAGGTAGCATTATGTTAAGCAGCAAGGGTGAGTAACTACTGGAATGGAAGTAGCAGACTTTCCATTTCTGTATGCCTTCATAATAGGGCCAGATGCTTTTCTAGAGTCTGCTTACTTTACTCAAAATATAGGGCTCAATTCTAAAATAAATGAGTTAAAAGTAACAGGAAACAACACAAATAAGGTCAAAATAAATAATCTAATGATCTTTCAGTATGTGCATAAAAGAAGCCTTTACAAAATCACTTCTTTCTGTGACGTGCAAACTGTGATAGTTCAATCAAGAAGCAGTTATTTGCACACAGTTACTTATGTGTGCAGTAATTGTACAGATGCTGTGAACATGAACAATGATTTCTTCACGGAAAG